GTGGGAGCATGAGCAACTGAAGCCTTTGTGAAATCGGTGCGTGAAATTGGCCGATGGCCGGTGCTTTCCAGCATTATAGAGGACTAAAGCAGGAAAAGTACCGAGCATTAACTGGGTGATCCTTTCATACCCATTTGGCGGATCACACAACGCAAGATCAGCAACAAATTAATAATTATGGGATCTTCAGGCAAGCACTTACACATCGTCCACAATAGGCGGACACAGGCACGGGATCCAGGCCAACACTGGCTGCACCACTGACCGCCTCGGCTGCGGGATGTTTCAGCACAGTGAGTACATCGACTAGTTGAGCAGTGTGGAGTGTGGAGTCGACGTCGGTATTCTCAACACTGTCGTTATTTTGCAAACCGGGCTCTGACAGGCGCCACAGCAAGGCCCGCATCGATGGCATCTCTTCTGCAACGAAGCGATTGAGAAAGTCCATGTGCAATTCTTTCACGTCACCGAACAAAGTGAAGTTAGCCAAGTTCAAAATTGTCTTAGCGACCTAAAGGTAAGAAAGAATCCGTTCAATGGCCAGATTTTCGCCACCAAAATTGCTGTTTCAGGATAAAAGCGAGTAAGAGAAGAGACATCTGGTTTAGTTTAAGTCATCCATAATCGAAGGCACGTTGTGGCAGATTTCTAACTCACCAGAGTAAAAGCCCTAACTGCTCGCGTATCTTCTGTAAAACTTTCAGCCAGCCCAAAAAGTGAAGGTGACAAAATTGCCGGACAAACAAACCGCAGAAAGACACACGCCGAAATGACGTGCTCAAATAAAGCTCCATTTTCTGTTTGCGATGATTTTAATTCATCGCCATTGCCACTAGTCGGCATCATCGCTTCTCGTATAGCTGAGAATGTAGTTCTTAATTCGCTATAGAAATGAAGAATAAATTAGTGGAAATGAAGAGTACGCAAAAACACATCGAGAGGATGGTTTACTTGGGAAAAGCAGAGATGGTAGCCTGAATTCGGCGCCATACATCTCTGACAAGTCGCAACAGATTTGCCTGGTTGCGAAGTAACTGACGCGAATTGGTGACTTTGTCCGGATCCACCTCAAAGTCTACGCCCGTTCGGTGGTTCGTGTCAGACATGTCCTCTGCAGAAGTTCGCCGTGTAGATGTTTGCAATCGGCTG